GGAAGAGATTAGCAGGCTCCCAGAGTTCTGGGATTACAGACATGCGCCACCATTATCCCGCCAAGGCAGGGGTTTTTAACTAGGGACTGCTTCTCTTCTCCCCACAGGGCATCTGTCAAAGTCTGGCGACACTTTTTGGTTGTCACCCTGGGGTAGGTACTCCTGGCATCTACTGGGTGAAGGCCAGAGATGTTGCTAAAACCTACCACAGCCCCCACGGCAAAGCGCTGTCAGGGTTAAAGCACCCACAGTGAAAAAAAATACACACAGTGCTAAGGATGAGAAACCCTGGGCTAAGGAGACTTAGTTTTTGATAAGAACAACAAATGTAGAAGAAAAATATTAGAACTGGTGATACCCCTAGGAAGATGTAACTTTGACCAAAGGGCAATGTGTGATTACCAAAGCTCCTTGAGGTTGACTGGCTGTAGGGAGGAGGTACACTGGATTGGACTGTGTGGTGAGCAGGCCTTGGGCCTCTGTGTTGGATAGACCCAGGTTCAGTGCTTGGCTCACTGCGTCTACCTCCTTTCCTCAGTGAAGTAAGGACTGCACCAGTTCCTGCTTCACGGGATTATAGAGAAAGGCATTTGCCTTCTGCCTGGCATGCAGTAAGTACTCAACAAACAAAAACCACTAGCAAAGGGTCTAAGAAATTATTTACAGCCCAGCCAGGCACAAAGGGCTGCGACCCCTGCTGTGAACACCCCTGTCCCGCTCTTGGGACTGCCTCTGAACTGGACTGGGTCACAGGAGACAGACAGAGGGGCTTCATAACTGCCACGTGGCCTGGGGACTGCTGTTCACACTCAGACTTTAGATGTTTGGGCTGTTTACTTGGAAAGAAATGATGATTAATTTCCACTCCTCTTCATGTTCTGCGGTTGGGGTGGGTGGGGTGGAGCCAGTATGTTGGCTTGAAAGACTGAAATTTGTGCCTCAGGGGAAACAGGACAAGGGGAGGGTGCAGTAACAGGGAAAGAAACGAACCTGAAATCACTTATGCTTTCCGAGGTGGTGACTGTTGATGCCTCTACCTAGCACTGGCACCCGCAGTGTGTGTGCACATACGTGTGTACGTGCACACTCGCCCCCTCTCCCGGGGCCTGAGTGCACAGAATGCAGGTGGGAGGGGCCGCCCACAGCGAAAGGAGCCATCTTCTGAGAACAGTGACTCAGGGTTGTAGGGCAGCGAAAGAAGGCCAGAGGCTGTGTGCTAAGGATCTATTCATAGATAGAACCATAGCAGGACCTGTTCCTCCGCACACCCTGCAGGCTGGCTAGGCTACCTTTCTTCAGCCAAACACTAGCAAGGGCTTAGGTTTTTAGGACTCTCAGAACTGCAGCTGGAACCCCCTGTGTGGGCTTGGGCCAGAGACTCAGCTTCTTCAGGACCCTCTCCCTCTCTTTCGCAGAGGGAGCACTGTGCCCCTGGCACATGCTCTAGCCTCGCACGCGCTCCGGCCTGGCACGCAAGGCTCTCTTTTTCCTTGCAGCCTGGTTGCCCTTGATGCTTAGCTTGACCTCACTATACCTGCAAAAAGTGCTGTGTGGGGACGAGGTGGAGGTGAGGCGCCTGGCAGAGAGGGGTTAACAGCAGCACCTCCAACAGCTGGGTTCATCCCTTCCGCTCCCAGCCCATACTCTGCCACAAACAGAAGCACTTCCCCAGAGGGGAGGGAACCGGCTGGAGGGGCTGAGGAGGAACTCACAGGAGGAGAGGCACAGCCTCGAACTCCCAGGCCCCGTCCTGACTTCCTCCAGCTGGGGAGGGCACCCAGCCGACTTCGAGACTTCTTGGACCTCACGTCAGAAGTGGGACGCAGGCCCTGCAGAGAGAGCTGGCCCAGGGGAAGTGGCGGGGCTGGGCGGTGCACCTGACGGTGGAACAGGGTCTCAGTCAGAAGCTTTCTGCTGTGGGCAGGGGCTCCTGGTGGTTACGAGTGCCGGCTCCTAAAGCTGACAACCCCTGCACGCAGAGTCCCGGCTCTGCCCAGGATGAGTCCCGTTTGTTGTCTGTGCCTCAGCTTCCATCTGCAAAGCAGAGAAGGCTAACTATGGCCACCTACGCAGGAAGACGGGCATATCCAAGCAAAGTGCTTAACAAGTGCCGGGTGCAAATTTAGCACTTAATAAAGGGCACAAATTAGAGAAGATATTCATGAAGTGATGAATGGACAAAGAACCTTGAAATCAGAGCTGTCCCCTCCCCACAAACTCCACTGCACAGGGCTTCCCTCCAGAACCAGCCTGCCCTTTGTGCCTGTGAGGGTCTTGGAAGGGCGCTCTCCTCAGCTCTGAGAGCAGGGTCACAAACTGTTTTCTGTACAGGCCAAACACAGACAGCAAACATTACAGGTTTTGCCATACCATCTCAGTCCCCACCACTCGACTCTGTGGTGAGACAATTATGTGAGGGTACAGGTGGGTCTGTGTCCCAATGAAAGTTTATTTACACAACAGGCTGCAGCCCCTTTCCACACCTCTGCAGGCAGGGAGCAGGCAGCAGCAGCGGCATCACCCTGAGCCTCAGATGCCCCCCGAGCTGGCAAGAGGAGGGGCTCCCCAGCACAGCCTGGGCACAGCAGAGGACGAAGGCACTGCCTCAGCAATAGCAACAGGAACCAGCCTGCTGGGCCACCGCCTCCAGAACTGATGTTCAGCAACTGGAACAGGACTTCACAGCAGCTGTGGAAGTGGGCAGAGACAGCGGGGCTTCCGGGCACCCCACGTGTCACCTGGGGCTCCTCTACAGCCACGGAGCCAACTTCGGGGACGAGCCTCCTCAGCTCCCCAGCCTAGCACTTAGGAAACCACAAAGGAGAAGTGAGAGGTACAAAGTTCCTATCTGGCCCTGCAGCCTGTCCGCCCAGCTGCAGGGTGTGAAAAGCAAGTGGGAACAGTCCAGGTCTGATGTGCTGAGCGGGGGAGACGTACCGGCACCCTGGCAGGGTGCTGATCTGATTCATGCCCACAACAGCCTTCACTCCCACTTCACAGCTGCGGAGAAGAGAGGTTCTGAGAGCTCAGAGGACTTGCCCAGGGCCCCGCGGGTCGGGCAGCAAAGCCGGGACCTGCTCCTATGGGTGGCTCCCGAGTTGCACATCCCACCCTCCTGCTGCCAGGGGGGAGGACAGAGTAGGGTGGGGGCCCGCTTCTGGGCTGGGGTGGCGCCACCCTACTCTTAGCATGGGGAAGACCGCACCCCTCCTGCCCCTCAACGGCGCCAACAGAGAGGAAGGGAGGGGGAAGAGCAGGAAGGGGCGGGGCAAGAGCAGGAAGGGGCGGGAGAGGGAGACAGGCTTCCCCAAGGCCCATGCCCATCTGCTTGCAAAGGCCACCTCAGCCACTTCTGCCTCCTGCGGGCCTCGGCAGGGGCGCTGCAAGTTCTGGGCGAGGGATTCCACTTCCTTCTCTTCCAGGCAGCTGAGGACTCAAGCTCAGCAGCTCAACCGCCCAGAAATGAACGTAGCTCTGATGCCACGGGGTGCCGTCTCATCTGGGACAGGGACGCCCACCGGATGGAAATGCTGAGCCCTGGGTTGCAGCCAGATGCCTCTACATAGCAGACCCTCTGCAATGACCCACTCAGGACAGCACGTCCAGGGAGGGCACAGAAGCAGTGCTCTCCGCCACCTGCTAATCCTGACCGTGTTGTTTTACAGCCCCAGGCATCTAGTAAGCAAACTGCTGCTTTGGGTCTGCGAGCTGCTCTACCCCATCCCGACCCACAGCAGGAGTCACGGGAACCTGTGATTGAGGCTGCCACTTGTGACTGGCATCTGAAGGGGCAGTCTGTGCTCATGCTGGTTGTGTCGGCAGCGAACCGCGCCGTGGCCCGCCTGGCTGGGGTTCTAGAGGATTGGCTGCGGGTAGGAAGAACACACAGCCTTGGCCACAGAAGTGGTCGGTCTGTGTTAAGAATACACTGCAGAAGAAAACAGTAAGTGTGTTTCTTCTGACCAAACAGGTATCATGTGCAAGAATCATCTATTCAAAAACAGGAAAATGAGAAGAATGGACCCGTGAAATTTAACAAAATAAATCATCCCAAACGTGACACCTGGGCTTCAGAGACCTCCAGGTACCAGGGACGTCCCCCTGGGACTCCTCACCCAGGAGGAGGAAATACCTGCTTGCCCCCGCCCAACCGCCCTCAGGGAGGCTGAGAGGTGAGCCAGGGCCGGCGTGTGACAAGCCTCCCCTCCTGTGGGATGGGCTGCGCTCGGCACATGTGAATCCGCTCCTCTTGCTGGGGATTGGCGAAGGATCGTTAACCATGCAAAGGAAGGTGCCGAGGGGGCCCCAAATCTCCACTGCAGAGACAGACAGGAACCCCCACTCTGCCCAAATATCGGTGCTGCGAGCAGACAGACTCAGTAGCACCCCATGAACCAGCACTCCTGACCCAACACCCAGCAGCCCCCGCCTCCGAGCTCTATTCCTGGGGGCTGCCTCACCCAGCAACAACCGACCCAGGAGCGTTCCAGACACACGTTCCTGGGGCTCTGGCAGGTAAGTCCTCCCACAGTCCCCCAAAACAATGCACAGGAAAGCAACCTTCCTACTCCCTCATCCACAGCAGCACCCCAAATGACGACAGCCCTTTATCGTCACCATCCTCCCCCTCGTAGCTCACCATCCCTTAAAAGCTGGGGTGTGCGAGAACCCACCTTCCCTCCTAATCTTTCCTGCCCGAACCCTCCCACACCTTGACAAGACGGAGCACGCCAGCCCCCACCCGCCAGCCAGCTCCACGCCCTCCTTGCTCTCCCGTCTCCACCAGGCCCCCAGCCCCCATGCGCCCCAGGACAATCGCCCTGGGTACCGAGGAGCTCGAGGGCACGCGCGCCTTCCCAGGGGTGCAGGCGTTAGTTATTGCTCTGGCAGCTGCTGGAAGCCTGGCCTCTACACACCCCTACCCGACGAGACAGACACCAGCCAGCCCGCTGAGTCCCAGGGCCTGCGGAGACACCGCCGCTCCGCTGCCAGCCACCTACCCCTTCTTCAGGTTCTTCACATAGGCGCTCTGGAGGGCAGCTTCTAGGAAGTAGGTGAGCTCATAGTCGGCCTGGTGTGAGCCCTTCAGGTGCCGCGAGGTGCTGTTGTTTGCAGTCTGAGAAAGGGAGCAGAGAGGGGAGTGTTGGAGGGAGAGAGGCCTAGCGTGAGTGCTGGGCCAGAGGAGGGGCCCTTACCCAGGGTAGACAAAACTCCACCCAACTCGCTTTAATTTAAACTGTCTATACTCGGGAGGCTGAACCGGGAGGATTACAAGTTCGAGCCCAACCTGGGCCACTGACTGACTTAGCAAGACCCTGTCTCAAAACAAAAAATTAAGAAGAACAAGGGATGCAGCTGAGTATGAAGGCCCTGGGCTCAATCCCTGGTGCCACAAAAAAGTAAAAATAACAAATAAACACTTCTAAAACTTTCTGTCCCCAGCCAAACGTTGAAAGCCCCTTGTCTGCATGAGTTAGCCAACAATCAGAATTTTAGATTCATTAGCTCATTCTATCTTTAGAGCAATCCTACTGGGTAGGAACTGTCACTCCCATTTCACAGGTGGGGACACTGAGGCAGTCACCAGGGCTGTGGGAAGCACAGCCAGGCAGCCTCCAGCATCCATACCGTGTGGGTTTCCTGTCTGCTCCCAGCCATGCAGACTCGCCCTCCTCACCCCACAGCACCCCTGCCTGCGCCTGCGTGGAGAGGTCAACTCACATTGGCCCTGCCCCCCTCTGCTATGCAAATCTCATCTCCTGCAGGGCGGGGACTATGGCCCCTGCGTGCCAGTGCTGTCCACACCCCTCAGACAGGAAAGACGGGGAGAAGAAATTTCCAGAATGGCCCCCCAGGCCTTACTGAAGGCTTGGCACAGCCTCCAACACTGAGTTCTGCCGGCTTTTTATTGAGGAGAAAACTAAGGCTGAGAAGGCGCTTAAAGTCACAAACAGTGTGGGCGGGGACCTCCAACTCAAGTCCAGCCGGCTACAGCCTGCAGGCTTCCTCCACTTCCTGGCCAATTCGTCCCATACACAGGGAGTGCCTGCCCTCTGCCAGCCCTGTACTGTCCCGGCCACCCAGGCTTGGAACTAACTCCTCAGCAGCATCCCTAGAGCTGAGACTCTGGCTCCAGAAGAGCTAGGGAACAGTCAATCACTAATTGTCACTCAAACTTCAGTGCTGACAGCACCACCCAGCCCCACAGGCAGGCCTGCCTCAGGAGGCCTCCTCTCCTACCTGACCTGGAAGAAAAAGGTCAAGGAGCCACTGGGCTTATCCATCGGAAATCAAGGCGGACTTAGGAGAGGCCCTCTGTATCTCAGTGTCTCCAGGGCCGAGTCTCAGGACAGCCACGTGGCATTTCTGAGAGGCACAGAGTTCTACAGTCTGCTCTCCTTCAACTGAAGACACAGCTGTCGGGCCACCTGCCTGCCCAGTGTCACAGACGTGCCTGCAGGCCTGGCACCGTCCCATCACGCCACCTGAATTCCTTTTAGAAGGCCGAAGTCCTGGCTTCCAGGTTTGTGGGAGACTTCATCTTTTTCATGAAAGTTTCTTTCAAACCACAAACAATCCAAATGTAAAGGGTCCCTAAAACACCGCTGTCTAGGAGTGACCCAAGTGACTGTGGTGCAGGTCACTTAGAGGTCAAGTCCCCAAGCCACTCTGCCAGGGCACAGCACTCAAATTCTGGATTTGGAATAACTTCTCCCTTGCTCTTGAAATCCAACCAAGCAGTGGGACTCTGGGGCAGTGGCTCTCAACAGGTGGAGGCCAGCTAGCAGTCTCCAGAGACACTCCGGGTTGTCACGGAGAGGGGTGTGCTGCTGGCATCCGCGGTAGAGGCCAGGGATGCTGTTAACACCCTATGACCTGGATGCAGCCCCCACAGCAAAGACCAACCCGGACTCAGGGTCAACAGGGTGGAGGTTGAGAATCCCCGAGCTCCGGGCAGTGACAGGGCTACGGGGCCCAGCACCACAGCAGGTGTGGCGCTGCTTTCCTGGGAGCTGCCACAAGCGAGGCTCCGATGTCTCCTGGACTTGAAGTCCCTGAGCTCAGGACACTACTGCCTCCTTTCCTATGCTGCTAGAGACCCTGCTGGCTAACATCTACTAAGCATCACGCCATCTTTCCCAGTATCAGAGCTACGTGGCCTGGCATTCTTGCTGGTGTCACTTACTGATGAACGCCACCAAGTTACTGAGAGCCTCTCTAAGCTTGATTCTGCTCACCTGCAAATGGGAACAGCAGCAGCACCTACTTCATCAGCATGAGGCCTAATTTAGAGTGCAGGCTCAGTCCGCAGAGTCGTGTCCGACACGAGGCTGGCACTCAGGACATAAGAGCGGTCTCCGCTGAACGCAGCCGTCTGTCTTCCCCTCAGAAGGCCTGAGCCCCTTGGCAGAGGAAGGACTGAGTTCTACCCATAGGGAGCTGCTAGCGGGTGGAAGTGATGCCTGCAGATGGCTAAGACAGGCGCCTGGGCGGTGGGGCTAGGGGTCCTGTGGAGGGCTCTCAGGTCACCTCAGAAGGCCTGGAGAACGTGCCCCAGGGCCCCACCTCCCTTGGAAGTCTGCCAAAGTGCTTGAGGGACACCTTCCAGCAGGGAAGGATGTCTAGCTGCTAAAAGGAGCCTGACGCCAGCCCGTAAAGGGCGGTGTGCTGCACAAACGCTTTGCCCTGCCTAAATCACAGCTACTGAAGGACGCTCCCCCACACTCAGAGCTGCATGAGGAGCGAATGCATGAACACATACAAACAGGGCTGGCACACCTGGTCCTACAGGCTGAGCTCACCATGGAGTTCCCGGCCCCTCACAGGTGACACGGGCCCGTTTATCTCCTAACGCCATTTCCTAGTGGTACAGCCCAAATCAGTGCGATGCAGTGAATCTTCTCCACCCCAGGAAGTGGAATGTCTCAGGAGGACAGGAAGTTCCCTTTCTAACTTGTGTGGAGGGACCCGGGGCTCAGCGTGGGCAGCGAGTGCTAAGTCGTGCGGCGGCTCTCAGCTCACCTTCTCCAGCTCCTGCAGGAACACCTGGGCCACCCAGGAGGCCCTCTCGAAACAGGTGACCACTTCCTCCTCCCGCTCGGTCAGGCGGCAGCGGGAGGCAATGGAGTTGGGCAGGCGTTCCAGCGAGAGACCTGCGGGAGGGAGAGAGCCCTTCAGACCCGCCCTGCCCTGCCCTGCCAGGCCCCAACTCCAGGCCCTTCCCTGGCCCAGGCTCCAAGGGGCAAGGGCACATTCGCTCTGGAGCAGCCAGCGGGGGGCAGAGGCAGAGATCTGCGGAGAGGAAGCAGAGCTAAAGCGCTGCGGGTAGAGCACTGCAGGGAGCAAGCAGCGGCGGGCCAAGAGCAGGCGCCAGCCCAGGTGGGCATTGCGCTGCGCCCACCCCATCCTCCTCCTGACCACCCTGCAGGCCAGCTGCCCTCCTCACAGTCACTGGAAGGAAACAGGCACCGCGAGCACTCGCTTCTCTGCGTGGTGCGGCGGCCGCCTATGACCAAGCTTTGTTCTCCCCTGTGGGATAAACGCTCCACTCCAGCTCCAGGTGGGCCGCCACACCCCAGCCCTGCACCCACACATGCAGCCAATCTCTGCTGCCTCGCAGGAGTCACCCGTGTTCGGGCCCTCCCTCTGCAGGGACCCCGCGGGTTCCGCCTCCCCAAAGCCACAACCCATCTTTCAGGAACAGCCTTTGACTCTCCTGAAGGTGCAACCCATTTGAGGGACGTGGTGATTGGCTAAGGGTGAGCACATGGCCCCATCAGGGCCAATCAAAGCCAGTCCTGGAAGTGCTAGTCTTTCCACTGGTACCAGAAGCCCGCCTAAAAATAAACTGCACAGTGTGAATATAGAAAACACTATACACCTAAAAACAAACAAACAACAAACAACAAAACCTACAAAAACCCTAAATGAATCAATCTACCAAAGAACGGAGAGAATTGTTGGACTTATTGGGAAACAGAAGAAGTCCACACAGAATAAGGATTAGGTATGATAGAAAAGGGCAGATTTCTACAGATACTGAGCACCTAGATACAGCCTTGCCTGAAGCACTACCCAGTGTCCAAGCAAACAATCCCCCTACACTCATGCGTGCTTCCTCTTCTGTCTTTTGCCAGTCAGTCTGAGAGGCCCTTCTGCTGTTTACCGCTAACACAGGCCTGACTAGGGAATGCTGCCTTCAGGATCACCCCTCCCCGAGGTACGGAACCCACGGCCAGGGCACCTGTGTGTCCCACACGGTACCTTCTGTGTGATGGGCGTTCGAGCGCTTCCTCAAGGAATGAAGGACACAGCCCTCAACTAGTTCCTGATGTACAAGCCCCAACACCCAAGGGAGGACCGAGGCGTGCACATTTCGTATCTCCGTGGCGCTCGCCGAGTGGACGACCACACTGGCCCCCTAGCTGGCGCTGTCCCTCCAGCCTCACTCCACTCAGACCCACCCCAACACTGCTTCCACAACACTGCTGTGAAAAACTCACCAGGCGTCCTGACTGCCAGAGCGGAAGGCCCAAACTCCTGACTGCACCCCAGCCCTCCCAGCCCTCCCCCTGTCTCTGCCCACCCTCAGTTCTGCCCTCCCTGCCACACCCACACGCCCTCCCATCCCCACTGCTGCACTGGGGCGCCTGCCTTCCTTCCTGACTGCTCAAGGAATGCACCCCCAAGTCCACCCAAATACCCAGTTACGGCTCACCTTCTGGCCCTCTGGGTGACACCTCCTCTAGGAAAGCCTCCCTGATTGGCCCCTGGTGTAGCTGACCCTTCCTTCCTTCGAGCCTGGTTTACCCGTTCACATTCCCGTGTCACTATTTCTTCGTTTTGTTTGTTTTTTTGTTTTGTTTTTTCTTCCAGTACCAGGGATCAAACTCACGACCTTGCGCTTGCCAGGCAGGCGCTTTGCCGCTGAGCTAAATCCCCAGCCCCTCTGTGTCACTATTTCTGACACTAACTTGTTCACCCAATTCCCAGCCAGCAGCTCAACAGGGTCTGCCTTTCTCCCACCTAGCACACAGTAGGTAGCTGCCGGGCACCGGAAAGCTGGATGAAAACAAGCCTGACCACGGCCAACAAAGCACCGAGTGCTCGGCAAACACAGAAGAGGAATGGTATTGTTTTTCTTGACTAGATTTCAACACACAGGGATCAGTGACCTTGTCCTTCACCAGGATGGGGTATGACTAGGTCCAAAGGTCAGGGCACGCCGGCCAGGGAAAGAGAGCACAGACTGTGGCCAGCCTTGCTCCGTGGGTCTCACTGTGCGTCCTGAGATGAGTCACAACCAGGAGGAAAGGTTCCCTGCTCCTGAGGACTAGTGGAGGCGCAGAGAAGAAGCGAGAAGTCCACTCCCTTCTAGGGCTGGCCCAGCCTCTCCTCTCCAGATGAGCGGCCTGTATACCCTGCAGGAAGGTGGAGCCTGACCCAGCAGACCAAGCACAAGCAGCAGAACACAGCCAATTCCAAGGAGCACAGAGCAGAACTGCTCTGACACCGCAGTGACCCTGTGGCTCCCGAGAGATACCCTGCAGCTGGGTGCCCTCCTGCCCCGCCTCAGGCCCAGCGCGGGGATGAGGGATGCCAGCTGCTGGCAGGCTCAGGCTGCCACTCCAAGCTTCCTCCTGTGGGTTAGCTGACAAGGGGTTCAGGAACGCTTAGGAGGGGGCTCCACCCCCCGAGGTGCATCTGCTCCTCTCACCCCACCATGCTACCCGAAGGATTCCAAGCCCATCCTGCTAGAAAGCTCAAAGCAAAGACACCTCCACTCTGAAGCCCTTCAGAGGGGTTAAGCTCCCTACCTCTGACCTAGCAGAACACGTTGGCTTCATCTCAAGGGTGTTGATTTTTTTTCTCTGTAGTGCTGGGGATCCAGGCCAGGGCCCGCAGCACACTAGGCAAGAGCTCACTCCCCAGTCCTGCATCTCCCATGCTTGTGCCTTTTCCCACCACTGTCACTGCCCACTCTGCCCATTTGCGGCGGATCTTTCCAGCCTGTGGGAGCCCAGGGCCAGGTGTACAGGAAAGATGCAGATGGATGTGCAGAAGGGCAAACCGAGGCATGCTCAGGGTAGAGCCCGGCAGACTCCCTCCCTCTATGCTTAAAAAACAGTTCTTGGAGAATTCACCAACTGTAGCATATTTATATAATAAAAGCGCAGAAAAAATTTAAAGAATTACTTAAGTATGTCTTATATGCATAAAACACGGACAAATTTCTGAGAAATCATATTCCATGGAAGAAGATATCAAAAAGTACATGCTATATGATTCCATTCATATGTCATTTCTTAAAAAGGCAAATCAACCTATGTGAATGGAAAACACTCAGTGGTTGCCTGGGATAGGGATGATGGGGATTACTCAGAAAGGGACTCAAGGGGACTTTCTGGGGTGATGGAAATGCCCTATATCTTTACAAGGCTGCTGGGTATATGGGTATATATAGTCCAACTCACTGAGTTATACATATGAGATTTGTGCCTATCTCCCTGTCTAAAGACTAATCTGAAAGTAATGAAGATAATGCCTTTTTCAAAGGCAGTTAGGATCCAGAGAAATAGAGGATCAAAGTCCAGGGGATACGCTCATTGAGGTGGTCCTCTGTAAATCGTACACATATATAGGACTGAAAAGGTCCCGGACACTGGCAAGGGCTTTGCCTCAGCAGGGTCACTGTCCCACCACTCAATTCTGCCCAGAAAAAACAGGCTGCTTCTTTGCCTACATTTGTTCTCTGACAAATCTGCTATGAAGGCCATTTTGCTGTCCAGTGTCTGAGTAGAAACCCACCTGACCCTACAGTCTCTCCCCTTCTACCTCATGAGCCCTTCTGCACAAGTGGCCAAACCACAACACCAGGTCCACAATGTAGATGCACTGATCTTGAGCCCGATCTGGAAGGAACCCAGAGCTTGTGGCACGGCCCTGCAGGGTCAGTGGGAAGCCAGGGACTGCCTCCTAAGGGGGCCTTTCTGTGCCAACGCGCAGCTCCACAAGCCGAAGAGAGACCCTTCAAGAGGATGCCCTCCTTTGTCAGAGCCTCTGCATTTTTGGTTTGGAAGCAAGCAGACTGGGGCCCAGTCCCAGACTCAGCACCAAGCTGGTCCCAGCTCCTTCCATCTGAGATGACTCATGCCTTCCCAGGCAGTGACCTTTCCACGCAGGCCTGACCATGGGACCTCGAAACCCTGGGCCCTAGATACAGAGGTGCAGACAGAATGCTTCTTTTGCTATGGGTCACTTTACAAATGGGCGGGCACCCCCCACCTGCTACACAGCCAGTGAAAGGGCCCTAGGCACTCACAGCACCACAGAGGACTCGACCCAGAGCTGGGCACCCCGGGTGCAGGGGAAGAAGGAAAGAAATGCCTTCTTCAGCCTTAGAGGTGGTTTCAAGGCCCACAGATCGTACTCCAAAGTGGGCAGCTGTGCGAATGTTAACTGGCAAATGCTGTGGAGAACACAGTGGCTTCTCAAAATACGGAAAAACAGCCAAGTGTGCACACCGGTAATCCCAGGATCAAGAGGCTGAAGCAGGGTCGCTGCAAGTTTGAGGCCAGCCTGGGCTACACAGTGAGTTCAAAGCTAGTCTGAACTACATAGCAAGACCCTGCTTCAAACAAAACAAAACAAAACACATACATACAATAGAAAACTAGCATTACATGACCCAGCAATTCCACCTCCAGGTACAGACTCGAGAGAATTTCCAGTAGGGTTTTGCAGATATTGATGTGTAGGCATGTGCACAGCAGCGCTATTCACAAAAGCCAAAACACGGAAATAATCCAAATGTCCACTGACAGATGAGGAGCCCAGCAAAATGTGGTATATATGCACATCCAATGCAATGTCATTCCACCTTACAAAGAAAGAAACTGCAACACGGGTTACGGTACAGATAAATCTTACGGACATCACGCTCAGTGAAACAGGTCAGACACAAAACGCAAATACTATATCTGTGATGGCAAACCTTTCTGAGCTTTCAATGGTAATAAACAGCCCACTGCGGCACGCGTGCCAGAGGTTCGCCACCACTGTACTACATGCGTCTACTCACACAAGATCACATTCGTAGAATCAGAAAATAAAAGGGTGCTTGCCAACGGCTTGAGGAGGAAAGAATAAGCAG